TTGCATTAGACTTATATACCAGTCATGGGCATAGCACTCACTTAACGTCAACTGTGCCTGCAAACAATTCTTGTACATTGTTCTGGAAGCTATTGCTTTCTCCTTAACAGATTGTGGTAATATGTTCTTTGTATTAAGAAGGATCCTCTGGAAATATTTTAATCTCGTCTGCAACTCAGGATGGCAAAAATGTGGGAAAACATGTGCACGCATCATGGTAGCCAGCTGAAGATTGTCACGGACCTAAAATCCCTTGACATTGCCCATACTCCGATGGAAACCACAAAGCACCACCATGACCGCACTGTCCAGCTCTATAATGTTCTCCAAGAATGGCTTTCACAGTTTGATAAGCTCGTGACTCATCAAAAACAATACATCCAAGCTCTTAATAGCTGGTTGAAGCTAAATCTCATTCCCATTGAAAGCAGCTTAAAAGAGAAAATCTCATCCCCGCCAAGAGTTCAACATCCCCCAATCCAAGCCCTCCTCCATTCATGGCATGATTTCCTTGAAAAGCTTCCTGATGAACTGGCAAAATCTGCAATATCGTCCTTTGCAGCTGTGATAAAGACCATAATACTTCACCAGGAGGAAGAGATGAAGCTAAAGGAGAAGTTTGAGGAAACAAGGAAGGAGTATCTGCGTAAAAGTCAGGCATTCGATGACTGGTACCAAAAGTACGCGCAGAGACACGCAGAAATGGATCAAGAGAGAGGTGAAGATGCAAATCCCAAGGATCCTGTCGCCGAGAGGAAGTTCATTGTTGAGAGCTTGAAGAAGAAACTGGAAGAGGAAGTTGAAGCTCACCAGAGACACTGTATCCAGGTGAGAGAGAAGTCGCTGGGGAGTCTCAAAACTCGCTTGCCCGAGATCTTCCGCGCCATGTCAGACTATGCTCATACCTGTTCCGAGTCTTATGGAAAACTGAGGTCCCTTACGGAGCCAAAAGCTTGAAATGCGACCCTAATGTGTATGATCTGTTTTCCTAGGAAGCAGGAAGGTTTTGTACTTTTTGTATGTGGCAAACTTGTTTCACTTGGCAATTTAATGTTGGTAATCTTTGCTTTTCTGTAGAAAATCTGCTGAAACATGCAACTTAGCCCTCCTCACATCCCATGCATCATGCATGGGAGACCATGTAGTTGAGATTCCATGGAAAATTAGAGAACTTGTTCATTTTGTTAAGAGAGCGCTCAATTGGTGGGACAAAGTACCAATGTGGAATATAATTTATCCTCTTTTTTTTTCCTTTATTTATTTATTTGTTGAATCTAGTCTTTTTTCTTTCTCAATCTTTGTTCTTTGGGTGAACATAGAGCCTATCGAAAACAATCTAGTGGATGACTGGGGACATTGTCGGCTAACGTGCGTGCCACAATGGAGGAGAGAGAGAGAGAGAGAGATCATGAAATTCTTTAGAATATAGAACAAAACAAAAGAAATCCCCAAACAAATATGCTTGATCTGACATTTACATCATTAATATGAGATGTCATATGCCTTTTTTTAAAAAATAAAAAATTTATTTGGTTGTGATTACTTTTTAAGCTATGAATATTTAGTGTTATGCACTTGAGTATGAAGTATGAACAAGTTTTATGTAATGATTAAAGAGCAAACTCAACCAAAAAAAATAACAGTGAACAACTTTTTAAACATCTTAATCAAACTCATTGCCTATTATTTGGTAATTATACTATTTAATCATAGAAAATCTTGAGTTCAAATCTCATTCGCGAATTTTTGTTGTGATGTTGAATTTGAAAACAAAAATTTGTTTGTCCTATCATCCTTGAATTTTTAAATTTTTTAAATTGTAATTTTTCTGGTATTTTTGAATATAGAAACAAGAACTATCACCCCTACCCTAGCTTGACCACCAATGGAGAGAGATAAGCTTTTAACTATTCATGGTCCCAACCTATCCAACATCTTGGCCAACTCAATCATGCATTATTACATGCTAGAAATTTTCAGCACCCACCATTTAATCTCACACACAGTTCTCATTGTAATTTCGAAATTTCAACTCCTGCTCTGAGAGTCTGAGCTGAGCTTCATGGAAAATACCGTGTTATGTTGTGTGATTAGGTAAGACTTCCCTTTCCAAACAGTTTGAAAGCAACATCACCTGCATTGACATTTATTATTTTGTTGTCTCCCTAAAATCTTTATGGTGGTGAGGTTGCAACTGGGATTTCAATGGGGAGAACATTTCTCAATTTTCTCCATTTGAAGAAGCTTCCTATTTCTTATTATGGTTACTAGCTAGATATAACTAGATTGGATTGGATTTAGTGGATTCTCATAAGCAAATTCGTCTTTCGATCCAATTATGTCGATTTTAAAAATTATTGATTCAATCAAATCCGCCAAATTATCAAAATCAATTAAAATTAAATTAGATCGATGGATTTATGCGAATTGAATTGGGTCTTATACACCCTAGTTTACCTATATTTGCCTGGGCCAATGTGAACCACTGTAATTAAAGCTTTGGAAGTTTCAACACGACCAATCTGAATAATTAAGAAATAATTTTATTTCTTTCACTTACTTTTCAAAGGAATGCAATGTAGGCATGCGGCTAGCAAATAATGACTCTTTCGGCGTTCACACTTTTGACCCTTTTAACAGAGCTTTGGTGCTGACATACTTCTCTCTCTCTCTCTGCTTCTAGTAACCTTTAGACTGGCTGAGACACCAAAGCAGCTTCATCAAAGCTTCTTCAGCTAAAGAAGAAGAGACCCTTTCCAATTTCCTTTATTTCTTTAACAATAATATTTTCAAATGGATAAAGAATTGTATATATTGGAATATACAGTAGCCTTTTATTGAGGAATTCCTCAAATAAAATATCTTATTTGTTAAAAATCATGCAAATTGAAAATTATTCTAATTGGAATCAACAAAATAAACTAACACGGTGCTTCAAGAAAAGATTGTAACAACAACAACCATCTAATTGACTGGTCAAATGTTTTTGGATTGAAGTGATTTTTTACAGAGATATCTTTGAAGCAATATCTATATATAAAAAAACACCCTTTCCAATTTTCATTTATTTCTTTAATAATAATATTTTTCAAATTGATAAAGAATCGCATATATTGGAATATAACCCTTAACTTTGGTCCATTTTAAGAGCAGCCAAGTTGAGCCAAGTCAAAAGCCAGAGCCATGCGCTTTTACATTTAAATATGTATATATATAAATTGTAATGTCACACCTTTACATGTATATATATATAATTGGTTCTATAGCCAAATGAGGTGCACAAAACTTGGTCTTTGTCTTAGCAATGGGCATCAAAGAGTGGTGCAATTCACGCAGCCAAAGCATCAGGTTGGGGCAGCCTTACATGCCAATCAATTACAACAAGCCTGATCAGTGGCAAAGATTTTGGAAGAAATTCAAGATGGACAAGAAGAAGAAAAGTTTCAGTTCTAGCACTGTCACGCCGCAGGCAGCTTCTTATGATCCGAAAACATATTTGAAAAATTTCGATCGAGGGATGGGATCGATGGAGTCGGATAACTTGTCCCGGAGTTTCTCAGCTCGTTTTGCTGATCCATCCATGATTTTTCATAAGAACAGGAACTTACTGGATTGATGTTATGAATGATGCCAAAGAAAATTTGTGTATGTAGTTTTTGATATTGGTGTAAATTTTGACTATTATTTTCTGAAATTTATTTTCTCTCTATCCCTCCACTCCCTCTTCCAAATTAAAGTTCCATAGTTGCTTATAATTTTTGTTTAAAGCTTAAGCCAAGAAAATCCATGTAAAATAATGGTTGAATTTGAACAATAATTCATGTTTTGCCATTATTACAAAGATTTGTACAAACTAGAAAGACCATTCCATTTGGTATCTGGGTTTTTAGTCTTTTGACCTTAGCTTATGATCTCAAAAATGCAAAGGCAAAAACATCAGAAAAAAAAAAAAGAGAGAACCTTGGATGTTTCAGCTGCTGTTCTTTTCTTTGGGCCCAAGGCTCGAGCAGATAAGCTTTTGAGAGGGCTAATGGCCATTGGCCTACTCTTTTTTTTTCTATTCAAAAGTTGAAGACACCGTGATGCAATAAAGTCTTTCAAAATTTACAATTGTTTCTATCCAGTTTTTGTTCAGTTTCACATTAGACTTGGATTTGCTCATGTATACCAAATCATCATCTCTCTCTCTTTTTCTTTTTTTCTTTTTTTCTTTTTTCTTTTTTCTTTTTTCTTTTTTCTTTTTTATACAAACAATATTCTATTTTAATTTAATCTCAACCACAGGGAGGGAGGTTTGAACTCGGGTGCAGAGTTGGAAGTGTTGGTGAGTCTTGCACATCCGCTCTAACCAACTTAACTAAGTCTATGTATGCGCCAAATCATCTCTCTATCTCTCTGTTTTGCCATAATAATATTCCTTCTGTTACCAATTTTACCAACTGCAAATTAATGATTTTGAAAAGTTTCCCTCAATTATTTATTTTTGGTCTGCAAGTGATTTCTCCCATGATGAGAAAATGTTCATACAAATCATTTTTATAGGCTTAAGTCTCGAGTGACATTCTCACATGGGGCGCCAATGGACTACAAGTCTGAAACAGGGGTTCTGTTTTTACAATTTTTTTTTGGTAAATACCATGAGGTGGTGTCTCACACTCGAAGGGTGGGATTAATCCCTTCTCGGAATTCGGCTTGACCCAGGCCACAAAGTACTTCCAACGGTTTTGAAACTGTTTTTACACTTTTCTTATGCAACCTTTCTTGGGTTTAGTTGGGCTGAATGCGAAACCTTTTGGGTTGCGTGGGTCTCAAATATTAAACCCATATTTTGAGAAAATTTGGTGTTCTTAGGTTGACCCAATTTGGCACACAGATATTTCTATAAAAAAAATCTTGAAGGAATGATCCAATTAGTTCCACAGCACATAAAATCTTGAAATTGAGCTGAGCTCTAAATTAATAAGATTTGCAGTTGAATTGATGCAGAAAAAAATCCAACAGAAGCATAAACCTACGATCTATTTGCATGGATTTATTCATAACGGGCTAATGTAACAAGCTGTGCTCCTTTTGAAGCACATAATTAAGAGGGTTAACTTCAGATTACTGTATTACAATCTTGTTGCTCCTGTCAACAATTGAATACTGATCATGGAGATTTCTTTTTCTTTCTTTTCTTTTTCAAATTTTTTTGCACGCATGGTGGTTGTTGCTGGTTCCATGCTTACATGGAGGAGGTTAATGTGTGCTCGAGTCTGATTCTTCTTGGTTGTTGCTGGTTCCATGCTTACATGGAGGAGGTTGCTGTGCCTGAGTCTGATTCTTCTTCAACTGGTCTCCAGCCACAAGGAAGAAAGCAGTGTGCCTAAAAAAGTTCATCATTTTGAGCTTGGACTCGGCATCAATGTCCGAACTGGTGTCCAATGCTTGCTGCATATGATGCAGCCACCTCTCTGCCGCTTCGTGCGTGACGGGAAATGGACGGTGACGTGCAATCAGAGCCGGATGGCCTGCCAAGTTCCAAATGGACAGTAAGGACTCGATCCATCAGTAATTAAACCCTAAAATAACAGCATTGCACTAAATTGCAACAGATTATATTGGACCGGACTATAATGTGCAAGACTTAGATATTATTTGGTTTGACAGCAACCTCACATGGCATTATCGGAGTGGTGTTACGAGTTCACTCAAATTTTATCAAATTATATCGTGTGTTGCTAAAAATGCTAGACTCCACCATACATGTAACTATTTACATATTTACATAATAATATTTTTTTAGTATAATTGGTTCAATATGATCCAATTTAGTATAATTTAGTTAAAAATAAACCAATTTCGTATCCAATTCAATATGGTGTACCAACTAACAAGAGCAAAAGCCTCTGCCCTTTTCTGAAGAACTTGAACTGAAAATAAAAAAACCAAAGAAGGGCCACATACATACCTCTTCTGTGAGAGTAGAGATTGGGGCCTCCCATTCTCTGCACGAAAAACTCGTACTGGTTTTGGATTGCGTCTTCCTTCTTGGAACTGGCAAAAATTGATCGGAACCATTCTTGTTCGTCGTCGTAAACCCTGGCGATCAAGCGCTCAATTGTAAATTCATCACCAATCAAAATCCAATCCAATTCAATTTCAATCAATTAAAAAGAATGGAAGCATAATGATTGATGAAGACGAAGGAATGAAACCTGTTGTAGAAATTGGTGGAGAGGTTGACGAAGGCCTGGAGCCCTAGTTTCTCAAACAGGTTTGACTCGTCGATGGCGAACGCGTCCGCCGAGTTAACTCCGCTCCACTCAGCGGCCAATGAAACCTGTTGTAGAAATTGGTGGAGAGGTTGACGAAGGCCTGGAGCCCTAGTTTCTCAAACAGGTTTGACTCGTCGATGGCGAACGCGTCCGCCGAGTCAACTCCGCTCCACTCAGCGGCCTTGGCTTGCAGGCTCTGCATTTTCTTTTTGGCTGCTCTGTGTTCTGTAGCGCAAGTGTATGAAGTCTGAAAGAAGTGTATTTGCATATGTATATAGGGGCGTGTGCTGACCGCGTGAATTGCACGCTTGCTTTTTGCCTTGGAATTTGATTTGCTAACCAATGGAAGTGGAGAGGGGCTCGAAACTGTGGGCTATGGTGGATTTGCGGGTCCCCGTTTTCTTTTTATTTCTTTCTTTTTTATGCGCAATGACACTATGACCTAATCATGTTGTTACTACCGTTGGCAAAAATATCTGTTCCAATTGAAATATAATTTTTTTTGGCCACAAATATAAATGTTTATCTGTATATACAAAGCAAAAGGCAAAGAATGGTGAAACATTCAAAATATCAGAAAATGTCTTTGGTTAATTAAAATATTTAGAATCGAATATATATATATATAGTAAAAGGCAGAAAATGGTAAAACATTCAAAATATCAAAAAATGCCCTTGATTAATGCAAACATTAAGAATTGAAATTATTAATTAAATGAGAATAATATGATAAATTCACACATTTTCATATTAAAAATCAGATAATAAATCCTATTTTTATGGAATACAACTACCCATTATCTTTTTTAATTCTAAAATAAATTTAAAATGTTTTTAAAAAAACCTCTAGCAACACAAAAGCGCATGGAGAGGCTAGTATTGTTTTAAGTGTCAATTTCTTGTGTATCATTTGTTCTATCAAATAATAATTAATTAAATTGTGATAAATAAATAAAAATAAAATAAGAAATAAATTTAAATTGGCCTTGAAGAAGCTTTGCTTAGATGGGCCTAGATTGGGCTTAAACCACTAATAGCAAAGAAAAATGGCGGCACACCGTCGCCATGCGTTTTTTTTCACAGTATCGTGCAATCTCCACCGTCCGGTTCAAATCAAATAGGCGCAGACTGTAACTTAAATAACAAACTTTAACAAACCCTAATCTCTTCCTTCCGACGGTACGGTGCATGCTGCTAATCTGTGTCCGTTTCTTTCTTTCTTTCTCAGAGATCCTCTCTACGGTGCCTGAGGAGCTCTCTCTCTGACTAACCAACCGAAGCTTGGCTCTGGAACCCTAAATTTCCCAAATTTTTGTAGAATTTTGGTTGCAGAAGGGGGATCGATTGCTTGAAATGGTGACGACGGTGGGAGTAGAGACTAGGATGGAGAACTCGCAAAGTCGAATCAGGAAACGGCCCCGTTCGGCGTGGGACGTCGGCCCATCTCAATCTGAACCAGAGGTTGGTTTCGGTTCTTGAAATTTTAGGGTTAGGGTTTCCAGTGAGGAAAGGAACGGGTTCGAAACGACAAGCTTAAGGCTTTTTTTAGGGGTTTGCAGAGATAAAGGTAATCAGACAGGGCTGAAAAGGGTTGATGGATGCATGTTGTTTTGTAGGCGCAACGGGCCATGGTGGTATGTAATGAAGGAATTGGAAGGCGTGGATCGCCCCCGAAACGAGACGATGATCGGGAAGGACATTATGTTTACAATCTTGGCGAGAATCTCACTCCAAGATGTGAGCTTTTCAGAGAGTCTTTACATATTTGTCTTTGCTAATGTGTTTGTGTAGGTTAATGTTGTGGATTTGTTCGAAGATATTGACTTGTTTAATGATATTGATTTGGCAGATAAAATACTTAAGAAGATGGGTGAAGGTTAGATGTCAAGTGTCCTGCTGTCTACAAGATTTTATATTTTTCTCATTCTGCTTGAGTCATTCAGCATATTGCTAGTGCTGTAGGCACATTTGGCCGAGTTTTGGAATGTTGGGACCGTCAAGCACGAGAGTATGTGGCAATCAAGGTAGTTCGGAGCATACGAAAATACCGGGAGGCAGCAATGATTGAGGTTGATGTGCTTCAGCAGCTTGCTAAACATGATAAGGGCATCTCATGGTACATGTCTTCTGGGTTTCAGCTGATAGAATTGTTGGTTCATCACTGTGATGTGGTCTAACTTCCTGTATGTTAATGCATTGCTGCAGCTGTGTGCAGATTCACAATTGGTTTGACTACCGCAATCACATATGCATAGTAAGTATCCAATTAAGTTCCTTCATGCACCTTGTGTACTCTTCTAATATTTTATTTTAGTTGAATATGACAGTATTGGTTATTGCTTAATTCACTGTTTTCTGCTGATGATGTGGCACTGCCTGAAAATAGATATTACCCTGCCTGCTTTTTTTTCTTTTCATCAAGTAGTTTAGATGGTTGATTCCCATATGTATGTAATAACGATAGAGTTTTCAAATTGAGTTACAGTTTGATATTAGTATGTCCAAGGACTTTATTCATGGAACTGGGAACTAAACAGAAACCTTCCTTTGGATTGCATTTAATGGTTTTATCAGGTGTTTGAGAAGCTTGGACCAAGCTTATTTGATTTTCTAAAGAGAAATAAATACTGCCCATTCCCTGTGGATCTTGTTCGGGAATTTGGACGACAGCTTTTGGAATCTGTAGCATGTGTGTGGATAGTTCTTAGTCTCATTCTCTTTCTTATTTTTATTCTAACCAGTCACCCAAATCTCTCTCTTGGCCTGCTTTCTTTGTCCAGGGCTGTAACAGGGTGTTATAATTGAGTCCTTTTGTTTAACTTGTTTTTCTTCTTTATTATATCCAACAGATATGCATGACTTACGCTTAATCCATACTGACCTGAAGCCAGAAAATATTCTTCTTGTGTCCTCTGAATATGTAAAGCTTCCTCATACTAAGGTATCTTGGACTTTTACAATTCAAAGTTTATGACATGTTTCATATTTGGGACAGACTCAGTTAATGAAAAAGTGCTTGAAAATGGTACAGAGGTTTTCTTCAGATGAAACGCATTACAGGTGCTTGCCCAAGTCTAGTGCCATTAAGCTGATTGATTTTGGTAGTACTGTGTTTGATAATCAGATTCATAGCTCCATTGTTTCTACCAGGCATTACAGAGCCCCTGAGATTATTCTAGGTAACTAATTACAGTGTTAGCAAGCCAAAATTTTTTGTATCATTTCTTTGTTTTTATTTATCTTTTCCGACTGAAACCACACAAAACTATATGGTGATTAAGAAAAAGACTATCTAATTGGTGATCAGAGAAGCAAGTGCTTGAGGCTGGCATACCTAACAACAATTTCATTTTAAAGGGAATGTTCAACATAGTCATTGAAGGTTCAATAAGGACAAAATAGTGGTGCTTTAGTCCCCATATTTGATGTTGGGATCCCCCAATATGGTCAATTAGGATACATTATATGGTGGCAGTGATGGTAACCACTTAGCAACCTAATTAGGCCATATTACACTATGACATTGACGTTGGACCTGTTAACAATCTATATTAGCGTTTTCCTCGTTAATGAGACTTATCCATTTTTGTATTTTGATTTGTAACATGGACTATTCAAATTATCTTTTGCCCTGATCTCTTTGCTTGGTCTGTTTGAGTTTGGCAACATTGTCAACATCTTCATCTTGAACCTGTCTGTCTCTCTTTTTGTGTGTGTTGGTTTGTAAAGATTTTAGCTGTTATTTATAGTTTTGGGTGCGTTTTTTGACTGTAAATTTTGAAGTTATTTCTCATATTTATATAGTTGCCTTTTATATCTTGTTCATATCCCCACTTCTCAACCTTACTTGGTTGTACTTTATTTTCTACGTCATTTCTGTTTCTTATGAAAGTAAAGAAAGAATCACCAAATATGTATTATTAATGTTTGGTTACAATGGCCAAATGATATCTTGCCTGCATCTCAGATAATGACCACTAATAACACCTATCATGTTCTCATCCTTGGGGTATGTGTATTTTGCAGGTCTAGGATGGAGTTATCCTTGTGATCTGTGGAGTATAGGCTGCATTCTTGTTGAACTTTGCGCGGTTAGTTCCACATTTCTTTATCCTGGTTGGAATATGGATCATCTGGTCAGGAATTTTTAAGATGTGGAATTTTGTCAGGGCAACGCATTATTTCAGACACATGAGAACTTGGAGCATTTGGCAATGATGGAGAGGGTATTGGGACCTCTGCCACAGCAAATGACTCGAAGAGCCAAGTATGTAGTGAAATTTACTGACTCTGGTTATTTTATCACGACAATTTTTGGTTGAATGAGTTGATTTGTATTGCATCTAGAGCACCCTTTTTTCATAATTTCATGAAAGTAGCGTGTTTTTCTCCCCTCAGATATTGAACGAGACATATTCATTTCCGACTTCAAAATATTCTTAGATCTTACTATGTTATGAGTTTTCACATATCAACTTTTTACCCATGTGCAGCAATGGTGCTGAAAAATATTTTAGGCGGGGTGCACGACTAAATTGGCCTCTAGGAGCAGTTTCAAGGGAGAGTATTAGAGCTGTGAAGAAGCTTGATTGTTTAAAGGTTTTAACTTTTTCCTTTTCTCGGTCTTTTTGGTTCCCGAAAGTATTTACATGATTTGGCATCTTGTAAAATCTCTTGATTTGTTATTTGATATGATGACATCGCTGTTTGTTGTATCCAGGATCTGATATCACGACACATAGGGTCCTCGAAATCCAGTTCCTCTCTGACTGATTTGTTGTATGGTTTGCTGAAATATGATCCATCTGAACGTCTCACGGCTCGACAGGCCCTTGATCACCCCTTCTTTAAGATTCCAACCTGAGTAACCGCACCATGAAATGTAATTGGGGCCACCATGCTAGTAGTATTCTGAAAAAGACAAGCTAGCTCTTCAAAATTGGAGATAGATTGAGAGAAGAGAGAGAAAGCTCAAGTAGTGAATCAAGCGTCACTTGTATATGTACAGAACACAGACTATAGTGGCTTTTTTTAATGAAATGTTCGAGTTTTTTCCTCCCCTATTTAGATTACATTGGCGATTAAAAAAATGCAGAGTTTTAGTGACCCGATATAAAGAAAGTTGATTTTTTTTTTAACTCTACACAATAGACGTCCGGAAGTTTTGAACTTTTCAGGTGTAACAAAGGCATGAATTGGGCAGGCCTATTTGTTTTTCTCAATAGTCAGAGTTCCCATCCATCATTTCCTCTGTTTTACCTCAAAATTACAGTTGATCCCTCAGATTGAAACCTCCATTAGATTCACCAACTAAGGACGAGATTACCGTCCAATGATTTTATAATATTATCTGAAGCAGTATGTGAGGAAAACACCTAAACCAAATACTGCTCAAAAGAGATTGGACAAAGTTGAATTTTAAATTTGGCTTATAGAAGTGCAACATGTCGCTGAACATCACCAATAATCTCCACAAGAACACAATCCGTTCTCAAACTTATGAAACCTATTTGCATCTCTCACCAGAAACACCACCTTTAAAACCTTTGACAAGCCTTTAATAAACACATGGCAATCTCCGCACACTCTCAAGTTCTTGAAAACTCGAATTGTCTTGTGCCCCTTCTCCACCTCACCACACACCAGTGCCAACCCAATTGCCAACTTCTCACTATGAACTCTCAAGCTCTCTTCCTTTGACTCTTCTTCCACGTCATGCAGTGCAAACCTCACTCCATGAACATAACCAATCTCAGATTTTATTCTCTGTTCCATTTCCTTCAACTTTTGATGAATCTTTTCTGTAAGTGGATGTGTCTCGTCCCTGTTGTAGAAAAAGTGGACCTCCTTATCGATCTCTACCCAACTGCGTCCCGCCTCTTTCTTTAACCCCTTCATCTTGAACAGTTTTCTTAATCTCTCACACTCCTTCCAGTAGCCAGCCTCAGCGTAGATGTTTGACAACATCACATAGTTGACAGGGTTACCGCCATCCAATCTCAAAAGTGTCTCTCCTACTTCTCTCCCTATTTCCAAGTCTCCATGTACTTTACAAGCACTCAGTAAAGTTTGCAATATTCCAACATTTGGTTTTAAAGGCATGCTGTCAATCAAATTCTTAGCTTCTTTTAAGCGTCCAGCTCGCCCAAGGAGATCAACCATGCAAGCATAATGTTCTACATTTCGTTCAATCCATCTGTCATGGCATAATCTTGAGAAGTACTCTTGGCATTCTTCAACGAGTCCAGAATGGCTGCAGGCTGAGAGCACGGCTAAGTAAGTCACCCCGTCGGGTTCTATGTCTTCTGATTGCATTTGGTGGAAAAGACGTATGGATTTCCTTCCAAGACCATGCTTTCCATATCCAGTTATCATAATTGTCCAAGAAATGACATTCCTCACAGGAGTTTCATTAAATAGTTTTTCTGCCTCATCTGTTAATCCGCACTTGAGATACATATCCAGAATTGAATTAGTTACTGATATGTCTAAACCAGATGGAATTTTAATGGTGAAAGCATGCATTTGCTTACCTTGTTCCACTAGAGCAAAATCAGCAAACACACCCATAAGACTTGAGAGAATAAACCCATCTACTTGATGGTGTATACTAACCCTGAGCTGCCTAAACAAGTCCATGGCCTGCAGTAGATTGCATTCTTGGGCATAACCCAGAATCAGGGCACTCCAGGATACTAGATTCTTCTGTTCGATTTGGTCGAATATTCTCTGAGCTTCGGTCAAGTGGCTGCATTTTACATACAGATCAACAAGAGCACCTGCAATCATGGTCCGAACTGAACACAAGAATCCTCTTGTGATTAAGGAGGAATGTATTTGGCTTCCTTGCCGAATTGCTCCCAGACCACTACAAGCCTTCAGTGTGCTTGTAATCGTATACTCGTCAGGGACTTCTCCCATCCCCTGCATTTGCCTGAACAAAAGCAAAGCTCTCTCCCCATTTCCTTTGAGTGTGTATCCGGCTATCATCGCATTCCAAGTAATAAGGTTCTTAACTGGCATAACGTTGAACATCCGGGCAGCTTCACTAACTCTTCCACATTTCGTGTACATGTCAAGGATAGAATTGCTCACCACCGTTACCCATTCAAAACCAGATTTAGTGCACATATTGTGAATCTGCATTCCATTCTCAGCAATGCCCACAAAACCAGACGCCTTTAAATTAATTGAAAAAGTGAACTCGTTGGGCTTAATTTCTGAAAGTCCCATTTTACTAAAAAGAGACAGTGACCCTTTGGCATTACCATTCTGTAAGTAGCCGCACATTAAAGCTGTCCAAGAAACCACATTTCTTTCAGGCATTCTATCAAACACAGCACAGGCCATGCCCGTTCTACCACATTTACCATACATATCTATAAGATCATTGCTCAACATCAAATCAAACCCAAGACCCATTTTCATTACTGTCCCATGAGCTTGCATTCCCTGATCAAGTAGCAAATTCTTCGAACAGTTCCTCAGGAGATTCGCCAACCTCTGCCTCTCATTCATCCTTGCAACTTTCTCTTTTCCCCAAAAACCCTGTTCTACAAAGTCATGGCAACGAGAATCGGAGCAAGTGTCAGAGAATTGGAAGATTTCTTCGTACCCACGTTGCTAAATTGTAAAAACACTTCCGGGTTGAAGAAAATTCACGCTCAAATTGTGAAGTTCTCATTATCACAAAGCAATTTCTTGGTCACAAAAATGGTGGATGTTTGTGACAACAGTGGGAATTTAGGCTACGCCAGTTCGCTATTCAAACAAGTTCTTGAGCCAAACGTGTTTTTGTTCAATGCGATGGTCAGAGCTTACACGCATCATCAAATGTATGATTTAGCAGTCACTTTGTATAAGCAAATGCCAAGGCACTCACAAGCTCAGAACCCCATTTTTCCTGACAAATTCACGTTCCCGTTTATAATAAAAGCTTGCGCAGGGCTTTTTTGTGAAGGTTTGGGGACGCAAATTCATGCCCAAGTATGTAAATTTGGCCCAAAGTCACATTTGCTGATAGAAAATGCACTGCTAGATTTATATACCAAGTGTGAGAACTTAACAGATGCACACAAAGTGTTTGATGGTATGACTGAAATGGATGTGGTTTCTTGGAATAGTCTCCTTTCTGGGTATGCTAGATTGGGGCAGATGAGAAGGGCCAGAGGAGTGTTTGAGGAAATCCCTAACAAGACTATTGTGTCTTGGACAGCAATGATTTCAGGGTACACCAGAATCGGGTGCTACGCCGATGCTTTGGACATTTTTCGGCAAATGCAAGTGTTGGGTATTGAAGCTGATGAGATCAGTATTGTTTCTGTTCTGCCGGCATGCGCCCAGCTTGGAGCTCTTGAGGTTGGGAAATGGATTCACATGTACTCAGATAGGAAAAGGCTATTGCAGTCTATTTGTGTTTGCAATGCCCTGATTGAAATGTATGTGAAATGTGGTTGCATTGATCAAGCTTGGCAGTTGTTTGATAAGATGTTGGAGAGGGATGTGATTTCTTGGAGTACCATGATTGCAGGGCTGGCGAATCACGGTAAAGCTCGCGAAGCAATCAAACTCTTTCAAGGCATGCAGCGAGCAAAGGTTAAACCTAATGGCATTACATTTCTTGGTCTTTTATCAGCCTGCACCCATGCTGGCATATGGAATGAGGGAGTTAAGTACTTTGATTCTATGAGAGAAGACTATAACATAGAGCCAGAAATTGAGCATTATGGTTGTTTAGTTGATCTTCTTGGACGTGCCGGGCACCTTGACCAGGCTTTTGACAGAGTAAAGAAGATGCCAATGAAGCCAGAGTCAAAGATTTGGGGTTCTCTATTAAGCTCTTGCAGGACTCATTGCAATCTTGAGATTGCCATTACTGCCATGGAGCACCTTTCAGTGCTTGAACCAGATGATGCAGGGAACTATGTTTTACTTTCCAACATATATGCAGACCTGGGGAAGTGGGAGGATGTGTCAAGGATGAGGAAACTCATTAGAAGTAAGAGCATGAAGAGAACCCCAGGTTGCAGTTTGATTGAGGTTAACAATGTGGTTATGGAGTTTGTATCAGGCGACGATTCGAAACCATTTGCAAAAGACATATTTTCCATGCTAGAGCTTCTCGTTTTACAACACAACATACCAGATGATAAGATAGAAGCCATTCCTGAGGATTGCAGTCACTTTTTGAGTTAAAATCAAGATATGCTCCAGCTCAGAAACGCCCATAACACAAAACTGTTAGTAATCGCTTCATTGTATTCAAAACTGGTTTTCCTCAAGTTGCAACCCATTGCATTCAATTAACAGTTTTCCCTGAATTGTATAACTTGACCAAAATGTTGGTTCTTTTGTGTGTGTGTGTGTAGATTTGGCAGACAAACGGCTGAGGAAAATGGTGAGAATTTCTGTCAAGATGAGTAGGAAGAATATGAAGTTTATTGTAGTCAGTCATGTACAAGTGTACAGAAGAAAGGTACTTGCTATTTTTTTTTAAATCATTTTTGTTATCCCAAAGGAATATTAACATATAGAAAATGCTGCTCAAGCAGCAGTTAAGCTGCATACTGTAAGTTGAAGTGAAAAGATTTCATTGTCTCCAATTACAGCTTTCCAACCAATACAAAACCAAAGGGGAAGTTCACTGATATAAGCTGTCATACTAAAAATACAACATGCAAATTCTAGCTCAACTGCTGTGCAAAAGAGAGGCCACATACAACAATTATTGCATACACAGCACAGTCCATGAACAGAGCATCAAGTACCTTCTTCATCACCAAGCCTGCCTGTAAAGTCCTGCCTAACCGATCAGCCCATTCATATCCGTCAACTGGCATATTAAGCTCACCAAGTCTGCCAGCCATTCCAGAGAGTCTTCGTCTACCGCTCTCGACAATTCGCACAAGCACAAGTGTTACATTGGTCACCAAAACTAGATACAGAGGCCTAAAACCCAAAAGGATCTTCACCATTTTACTCCCAAGTAATGGAAAACCCAGATGGGCTAAAACCATCAAGAAGGCTACTGCCACTGAAATGTAAATGCGGGTCCTTTCTGTTGCTTCAATGGCATCACTTATTCCAGTCCAAGTGACAAGTCTAGGTTTTTGAAATGGTGTTAATGTTGGTAATGATGATGGTGATGGTCTTTCAACCGCTGATGCTGAGGACACAAGTGGTTCGCCTTGTGAATCAGTGGCTCCAAAGACTTCTTCAGTATTTGTGTCACATTGCAAATCAAACCCCTTTTCCTCAATCTCAGGGGTGACCACTGCAGACCCACCACACCATTAGCAACAAGAACAACTAAAGATGAGACTTTGTGCAGAGACAGAGAGAGATAGAGTGAAAGATTGGTACCTGGGATTTGATCTGGGACATCGATTTGGGGCTCCTGATCATGGGAAATCAACGGGTGCGATGGTGGGTCTGTTTCTTCACGGTGAGTTGCTGGGTCTGTTAATGAAGAAGAAGAGGATGGTAGGGTTTGGATCCGACCCGTGATTAGGGCAAGGCGGTCGGATCCTCGCTCCATGATCTTCCTCCTTCGGGCTTCTCTGCTGTTTGTGGCCATATTTCCTTCCTTCAATCAAATCGATAAATGCTTCGTCTTTTGCTTCTTCTCAGTCGGCAAAGGCTGATATCAGCTCAGTTTTTGGGTTGGTGCGGTTTCGGATCCGATAAGTTGTTGAATTCAAACTTCATCACCTCGTGTCTTTTTTATTTTATATAAAGAAAATTATATCTTCCAATTCTTTTTATTTTTATTTTTAAAAAATATCTTCAAACTTTAGAAAAGAGAATTCACATCCTCTTAAGTTCATATAAGTTCATAGAAAAGTAAGAAATAGGCTTTTCTTTTTCATTGATAAGTAAATTTAGTGTACCAACTCGAAACTAATGGATGATTGTTGGTATGCAAAAGTGCAGTCCTTTTTTTTTCTTCCCTTTCTTTCTCTTTGTTTCTTCGTGAGTGGTTTAAGCCGCGAATCTTTTTTAAAATTAAGTTCTTATTCCTGACTCACTTTTGATTTCGGATGGTTTCATCCCATCCTTTACACACTCTTAACGATGAAACCATCGGAAATCATCTTTCCCAAAAAAACAAAAAAACAAAAAGCATGAATGAGACTTGCTTCTTTGTAAATAATGAATGGGTAAACATGTCTATCCACAAGTCTGATGATAAATCCATGTATCAAGAGAAAGATTGATAATAGAAGCGTAGCGTGAAAAACATGTATAGTTCAATAAATTTAGTAAATCAAAGACTTCAAAAACCAGACAACCCTTGTCAAGAGTACTTTGGCAGTTGCCAACTGACACACAAAAAATCTACTACAATTCCAAGTTAATCAATCCACTGGTCGACGCTGAAAGTCATAGGGATGGTGCAATGCGTCTGTAAACCGCTCGGAAAGTCTGTCCCCCATTTCTGTCAACCTTCTGTCCTTCCTCGGTTGCAGAACTCAATAGCTTCGTAACTGGATCGGCTTTGAGCTCTTCATCTGTGAGAGCTTCAAACATAGGATGATTCTCCAAGCAAGCCTTCATCCAGTCGCCAAGTTCTTCAACATCTGTAATTGTGTATATAATCCCACCAACTTCTAGAACATAAGCATACTCATCCAGTAGGAATGGACTGATCACCCTACGGCGATGGTTTTTCTCTTTGAAGTGAGGATCCGGGAACAGGAAAAACATCTTCGAAAGCTGTCCTTTCTCAAAGTAATTTGGAATGTATTTCATGGAATTAGTCCGAACCACTGAGATATTTTGGTATTGGCCAGGATTTGTCACCCTTAAAGCCACGATCCTTTCCTTGACATACTCTGTCACCTTATCTCTAAGCTCCATTCCAATCATCAGTGTCTCGGGGAATAGGGTTGAAAGACTTATCAGCAGTCCCCCAAAACCACAACCAATATCTGCAAACTGGATCTTTTTACAGCTATCCACTTGATCAGATGAGGGGAAGTGTTGCGGGTAATGAAGAGAATAATCCACATGACCTGGGGAGATAGGTACTGGAAAGTGGGAGTCACTCAGAGGGTTGCTGTGTGCTCTTGCTCGGTAGAAACGCTTCCGAGGCAGGCCAGTCGACTTGCTAAACGTTGGGTTTGCTTCCTTTTCCGACATGACTTTTTCAGCTAGCTGCAGAATAGTAAGAATCAGGATAGCATGCTCAATATGAAGGGAACAAAAAATGCAAAACCAACGAATACTTTCAAGGTGCATCATGTTTGAATGCAATGCTATTAGAGTCAGGCACTCTTGGTAGCAGACTGTGCAATGGGTGGGTGAATAAGAACAAAGACAGAATCAACGATGCTTCTAACTAAAAAGGCGCTCAAATTTTTGAGTATCAATGCCTGCAATACCATTAACCAAATCTCCATTCCCTAGCAGTCACTAGTAAATATCACCAATAGTCTTCACAAGAGCACAAGCCATCCTCAAACTATCACCAGAAATACTACCTTTAAAACCTTTGACAAGCCTTTAATGAAAGCATGGCAGTCCCCCACGTACTCTCAAGTACTTGAAAATTCGAATTGCCTTATTCCCCTTCTCCAGCTCACCACAGACCACTGCCAACCCAATTGCCAACTTCTCACTATGAACTCTCAAACTTTTCTTTCACGTCATGCAGTACCTCACCTCACCCAATGAACATAACCCATCTCAGATTTTATTATCTTTTCAATTTCCTTGAATACTTGATGAATCTTTTCTGTAAGTTGGTGTCTCTAATCTCCATTGTAGAAAAGTAAGACCTCATAATCAGTCTATACCCAACCTCTTTCTTTAACCCCCTTCATCTTAAACAATATTCTTATTCTCTCACACTCTTTTTTTGGAATAGACACATTCCTTCTCTTCTGTTCACTTCCAAAATCACTTGAAAGAGGCATTGTTACAAACACATGGAGAGCAAATCTAATAGCCCTGAATTTTAACAGAGCAGAAAGAAGATAAAGTCTAGCACAGTATTACAAGTGAAAAGGGAAATAAAAGTAAAGCTTTTGCATGTTTAGAACAAAATTATACTACATCAATAGGCCTAGTTAAGACGAAGCATAGAATGGCCGTAATTCACAACAACAATGGCAAAAAGAGAACAAAGTTTCAAGCGAAGGACCACATACCTCGGTACTCTAATGGAGCTGAAAACCCAACAAGATTCTGAAGCTTTTTCAGATATGGAGGCAAAGTTAGCTCTCGCACAAAGTGTTCGGGGCTGGCTGAGAAGGAAAGTACTGAGCGACTGGAATTATGTCACAGCGCCACAGACTTCAGAGTCGAAGTGAAGCGGAAAAGAGAGTTTAAGCTTGGAAGATCGTTCAGGTTTGGGCCATGTCATTCGTTGATTGGCCCAAATTCGGCCCATTTTGTTATGTAAACTATATCCCGGCCCATTTTGTTAGAAGCAAAAGTGCCATTAGGCCCACGACTCAAAGGCCCAGTGACCAACTATTTGGATAAGATTTTATTTTTTATTTTAGTACAAGCGATGTTTGGGGAGGGGGGTTTAGAGCATCTCCAGGAGACTCTACTCTCTCATCCCTAGCGACTTTAGAGAAAAAGAAGAAAAAACAACTCTCCAGCAGCATTGCTACCTCTCTCGCCATTTTGGCTCGCTACATCTAGCAAAGAGGAGAGAGAAATTCAAGGCTCATCAAATCTGAAAGCTGCGCAAGAGAGAGAGAGAGAGAGAGAGAGAGAGAGAGAGAGAGAGAGAGAGAGAGCTGGAAGCTGTGCACGAGAGAGAAGGAAATAGAGAGAGAAGAAAAAGAAAGGTTCAATGGTGGGCTACTTTTCATTTTGGGTTATTTTTTTAAATTTTTTTTAATGAATTTAAAATAATAAAATATTTGAGGTTAGCTAAAATAGAGACCTTTTAAGTGGTTAGCTATTTTAGCTAGAATTTGGGTAAAATTTGGAGACTCTCCTGGAGATGCTCTTACACAAATATTCATTGGGTGCCAAATTTCACATTTTAAATCTTTAAATACAAAAAGCTAACACCCCAAACTCCAATAGTTGAATTGAAAATGATGCACGTTGGTGGCTTGTTGCTCTGATCCCATACTCTAGAGAGTCTTAGCATTAAGTATAATCCACTTCAATTTACTCATTCTAGTCCAATAGAATTTAGTATAATCTACTTCAATTCAATACGGTTCACCAACTAAGTTCTAAGTTCATTATTTTTTTAGAACCTTTCCTATTGAGAAAAGTGATAGTATATTAAACTTACACACACTATACAGATGCTAGGATGCTAGGACTTGAACCGATGATCTTTCCTGGGGGGCAAGTAGTTGATCCAAACTACTATACTAGTGGGTCCTTTGCAACTGAGTTCTAAGATAGTTAGGCATAATGACCCAGTTCCCCTACTATTTAGTGGACGAAGATTTCAAACCAAAAATTAAAATCCCAAAATCCACACCCTAAACTCTAAAAATCCCAACCTGAAAATGGGGTTGTACTAAAGAGCAGAGCCGGCCCTGGCCCAGGGCGACCAGGGCCACAGCCTGGGGCCCAAAATACAATGGGTCACAAATTTTTCTTAGTCTATATATATCTGAAAAAAGAAAAAATTAAGAAAAAGAAAAAGGAAAAAAGAGAAGAATAATAAAAACTCAAGTGAATAGAATAATAATTTAAGAATTGAAAACCTGTTGGGCAAAATCAAAGTGATTGATTCATCAATATGTGGGTTTCAACCAGCAGTCAAAGCCAAAGTAAAAAATATACTTTTAAAAAGGAACTGGTATTTCTTCTATGGGTCTTGGCCATCTTGAAGAGAGCACAATTGAATGAAGGGTGGTACTACTTGAAATTTTGCAATTTGGATTTTTGAAGAGGTATCAAAACTTTCGTTTGTTTTTTTTCTCATTCTTTTCCTTTTGAGTTGGTTTGGTTGAGTGCCTTTTGTTTTTGGCTCAGAAATTTTACTCACTCACTATCTTCTTCATATTAATAAATTAACCACCATATTCTGTCAATATGTTTTGTTAGTTTTCTTAACTTTTTTATATTTTAAGTTGATTTGAATGTTTTTTTAAATTTTATACGAGCATTGAATGTTTAGAGGATGAGAATTGAATATTTAGTTTAGTTTTATGTGATTATATTTGAAGGGAAAAATATGCTCAAAACCCAGATGTTATATTTCTATGTTTATTAGTTAAGTTATTAGAGTTGAACATTTCATGCTTGACTGTGATTGATTATATTTTTAGTTTCTTTATTGCTATTGCCTCTAACTTGTTGTGGTGATTGTTTAGATTTTTATTGTCATTAGTTCTATTTAATATAAAATTTAAAACTTTGGAAATCTTAAAAAGACAAAAAAGAAAAATAAGACATAGCTCAAAGTCTAAAAAAGATCTTTAGAATTTTTTTTTTAATTTTTAAAATCAATGCTTAGTTTATTATAAAAAAAAAAACTACAATTTATTAATGTGTGTACATAGGCACACTTTAAATTTTCGCCCTAGGCCTTTGAGAGCTTATGACCGGCTCTGCTAAAGAGCCCTAAAAACTACGGACATTAATGTGCAATGATCAAATCATGTCTTGGACATTCCTCTCTCCTCACATTTTTCTTTTTCAAATTTGGATTTTGGACAAAGTTTGATTATCTGAGTTTCTTTCCTTTCTCTTTGTGTTTAACAACTAATCCGCCCCTACAAAACCCATATAAATTTATGCATGCAGAAGCATTTTCATGCTCCTCCTTCTCCCACACACATGACATATATATAATGGAAAACGACCTCAAAAAATTCATGTCAGTAACAATCCATAAATGTAGCCAACCAGAAACGGAGTTTTTAGTTGATATAGTTCCCAAGTTTTCTTGTCGTAATCTATATATGTACTAGGATATATATTTTTTTAGTAAAATATAATCTCAGCACTCAATGGAAATATAAGGCAAAAGTGTCCTTGCTTTGTGCTTCTCTCTAGCTAGCTGTGGAAGTACAGAGTCCTGTATAGCAAACGTATGCATGGCTCTAGCTTCTGACTAAGCTCTAAGGTATAAGTTCTAAGTTCTAACCTAACTTAGCTAAGAATAGATAATAATTAATATATTGGAAAGGCAACTTGTGCAGATTTTTTGAACAAATGCTAACAAAATACTAACTTAATTACGTACTTATCGAGTTAATTAAGCACATGATTTCGTACAAGTATTACGTACGCCACAAAGCACCAGAATATATATATGTAGATTTTGCATATAAAACATTGGCTAGGTAGTTAGCTTCATGAAATCTCTACATACAACTACTCTTTGAAATTTTGTTGCACTCCTTTTGGGAATAATATCTATCTCACCCTTATGCTGTCTTCGTGATATCTTTCTTGCACCCTTCCACTCCCAACAACTAATTAGATCTTTTTTCTGCAATAAATTATTTAAAAGTTTTGCTTAATCATTTTGTGCACTACGGGGAAGGATGTAACGCATGTGTGAGATCGTACAGCAGCCTGGTATTTTATTTTGAAGTGCTTGACAAGTAGCATATGTCAAGAATGAATGTGAGACTGGTTTAGGGTTTCTTCAATGATTCTAGAGAGTCTTTTTTAAAATAAACCTGTCAACTACTACTTTATACGCTATCGAAGTCGACAAAGTCATCCCGAAGTTTCAATTTTCAAAAGTTAATCGTTGAGCTAACGAATGTGATCAAACACGTATTCTTTAATCATGTATCCATCAACGACTCAAATTATAATTTTCTTCACGTTGTTCATATATGCACGCAAACGTGATAATAAATTTATATTTTCAGTATATAATATGACAATTGGTTACATAACAAGACGATTTCCAACATAGTATGACTTATTCCATGAATAGCACAGATTAATCATTCTGCACCATCCCCAATCAACAAATAACACCGATAAATCAGTTCATAACAAAACCATAATCATTCTCCCCCATACCCAATTAATAATACTATGATATTAATCGTGTGTGAATGGGGAGCTGAAACCCTAGTTATAATCTCCATGGAGGCTTGAAGATTTCAACGAAATTCATACCTTAAAACAGTTTTATAATCTTGAAGTGCATGACAGATACTCGTAATCTTCTCTGCCAATTAACTGGTCTTGATAGCTACACTGACAAACGTCTAACAACTGCTTTGATCAGAATCATGGCTAATCTTCTTTGACACAAATTATTTAGTCACAAAATTGGGCAACCGAGAAGAGAGGTTGAATTTGAAAGTGCCCAAGTCACTGTTTTCCTTTGCAATCTGGAAAGTGTTCATGTCTCACAATTGTAACTTTAACTCGTCATCTGTTCGTATTTTAGTGATGAGGTTGGTTATGATTATGGAAAGATTGAGAGGTTTAGAAACAGAATTATTGAGCACTGCGACTTTCTTATGAGATTTTAATTACAACACAGTATGTAGTAGCAATCCATCACAATCTCTCTCTATCTTTACTTGACAAACACTTCAAATATCAGATTGGTAGGGGTCTTGATCACTCTCACCTGTTCTTCCATGACTATCCAAAGCTTTACAGACAAGCTGCTAATTCACAATTTAACTAAACTGCGAGGATGATGCGTGATTGACCGCAATGTGGGGCGATATTGGAGAAGGAAATAAAATAAAAGAATTTGGTTTCTGTCATCTAAATGATTGATCAAAAAGTACAACAGCATATAACATTTTCGTCTTTGCTTTCTCTCATTTTCCTTCCTGATAAACAGTTTCGTCCTCGGATCTGTATGAATTTTTTCAGGCCTCCGGGAACATGTTGATTTTTCTATATTAAGCATTGAAGGGCATGAGCTTGAGTCATTGAAGGGCAAGAATTATACTAGTCAATTCCCCTAGACGGCATTAATTTTGGTTGAGCTTGAGGCATTAATTTTTGAGTCTTATGAAAATTGAGCAATTGTATCCAATCTCAAACACTGGCAATTTAAAACCAAACATGTTAAGGATATAAATGTTTTCATCGCCAAGTTTTTTTTATTAAAATGCATACGCAATTAATAAGTGTTGCATTATATTTTGCTATCGACAAAATAAGGGTGAAAAAATTTGGGGGTCGTACCATGAGACTGGGGTTCCTGTTCTCCAACACAACAACATTAACATACAAAATGTGAGTAATTAGATTCCTAATTATAATACAGATATATGCACAAAAGAGCCAAAACAAAGGAACAAATCAAGGGGAAGGGAATCCAGGGGCTGTGTCAGTTTTTTCCACCCAAAACCCATCCCCCCTCCTATTTTCCAATACGAACCCGTCAAGCATGTGAC